GAAATGTAAGGACGGTGCCACTTTTAGCACTTTCTAAACATTATTTTTGATCATTTAAATCTTGTGTTCCCTTTCTTTTTTGTCCAGTTTTCTATTTGGACAGTTCAGTTCATCTGCCTCTTGTAACGAACAGTTCTTTCCGGACCCTATGCGGACGACACAATCCGAAGAAGTGGGAAACACTGGGAAAACGTCATGCAGGAATACGGGGCTGAAAACAGGGGGGCGTGTCCAAAGTGCACTGGTGCACGGGGGAGGTGTGGCCAAGGCAAACAATCCAAAAGAGTAATCCATAGAGGGAATCCAAAAACACAAGAGTAAGTCCATAGCCAGGTGATCCATCCAAACAAAGAATTAAAAACACGAACCGGGACGGAACAGGCGGACTAGGAACAGGAAAAGAGGTTAAAACCTTAACAGGACCAGGCGCTTCCAGGTCCCGGACTCACACGGTGCGGAAACCAGATGCAGAGCCAGGATGAGCGTCAGCGCCTGGCTTTTAAAGTTGGGCTGGGAAAAGGGATCAGGTGCACAGAATAAGTCTCAAGTGAAAGGGCTGGAGCACCCTTAAGGAGGGGGGGACTATAATCATGACACCTCTGGTGTTTGTGATGCTTTATGTTTCTAACCTCAGATTTATGCTGCAGATTTCCAAGTCAGTTGACATGTCCTCCAGATGTTACCTGCTGGGGGACACATTTCTTGTTTTCAGAGTTTCTCTGTGATCACCCTTACCCTCATCCTTTGCCTGCCTTGGGAGTTCTCCACCTACATCAACAGGAAAATGTACTCAGAAATGCTTTCCGAGCTCTCTTTTCCCCTACATCCTTTCATAAAGATCTTCCTCTCATGATTGGCAGTCGCTGCCTCACCTTCTGAGTGAGGCAAATGAAAACTTGTAGGGCTTCCACAATAAGTTGCAGTCATCAGAGTACAGTACAGCAGGTGGATATTATTGCACTCAAGCAAGAACTCACGTCAGATTGATTCTGGAGAACTAGTCAGATACTCAAGATTCTTGGAGTCGTATTTCAAGGGATTCTTCGTTTAGCTTTCTTGCACTGGCTCCTTGTGAATTTCAAAATGAAATTCAAAATACTCTTGCTTGCCTTTAAGAGCCTGGATGGTTTAGCGCCTAGCTGCATCAGTAACCTGGTGCTGTATCTCTCTACACACCTGCACTTTGTTTGCACTCTTTGGAACCTGGGCCTTTGTCAGTTCCCAGAACTGAATTCGGAATCTTTTGCACTTTTACTTCGCGGCTGTGGAAAGATCTCCGAGTCTATACCAAACCTTTTAGTCGGAACTTTCAAGTCTAATTCAGTCTAATGCTTTCTATTAGTTTGTGTACATACGTGTGGCGAAAATGTTTTGTCTTATGAAATAATGAAATGTCCTAGACTCTGAGGTCTAAAGAGCATAACTGCTTAGACAGTTAGACTTAGACTTCATATACCCATCTTTACTCCACCCAGCAAATCC